TAATTTTAAATATCTTCGTAAATGTTTGTTACAGTCTTACCCGGTATTAAAAATTTGGACTGAATCAGGACTAGTAATTCTAATAAGGAGACATTGTTGAAAACTGAATTTTTGCAAGTTGATTAATTGTTCTAATAATATGGGAATTTAAATTTCCTCTTTTATAGTGTCAGTATGAAGATCAAAACACACAGGAAAGTTGTAGGTGTTACTCTTATCCTAGTGAGATACCTGACCAATATAAAGTTCACATATCTCTGTTAATCTGCCTTTCACCGTTTTTTTATTATAATGCCCTAACTAAATATCGAAATGAAATTGTTTAAATAATGATATACAAATTTGATTCCTGACCTTATCATAGTATTTCAAAAACGGCAAGAACATCTAAAATATGTTCCATAAGCTTGTTTATAAAAAAGTCAAACACTTGTCAGAGCTTCTGAGACACGATATATTGACTTTCAAACACCCAGTGACAATTAGCATGATTAACTTTATTCAAAAATATTCAATTTTTGGTTGCAACGCGTCATTTAATTGGATAAAAATATTTATATCATAAAACCTGTGTTGCCTACGTCACGATGACGTGTCAATCCGCTTGACGTTACTTTTAAAATATGTTCAATTTGAAGGCATTTTTAAAGACTAAATTGTCCTATTTTGTACACCTGATGACGGAAAGTTGAATTATGAGGTACCCTAGTTATACCGGTATAACATGGATTGGAACAGTTTCCTCTTTTTTATAAGCCGCTTCCCGGTTTGTAAATCGAAAACTGCCCCAACCCAGGCTATTAAATTCATTCCTTAATTCACCAATTTTCAATATTTCACATATTTCACAACCGTAAAAATGTACAAATGTGTATTTATACAGGTCTTCTACTTTCTTTAATTTTTTCTCACTTCTGAATAACTGAAGACAGAAGAATAGATGGTTTTCATATTGCCCATCAGCCGTTTACAGCGATATTTAAACATCCATCTTACACATCTTATGCCCATGCTAACAAAATGTAAAAGTGTTCTCTTTCATATATATCTGACCAATATTCTTACATGATTTTAGACATATTTTATAATATATATGAAAATTTGACGACAGTTTTAAGATCGGGCTTACCTAAAATTTGGCCTTGTTAAAATAAGTGATTAATGGTTTTCATTATTATCAAAATAAAACTTGAATAAATATTGCGTCCAAAACTTGTAGCTATATAAGCTGTATATTTTATAAATAACCACTAGAGGTAAGAAATAAAAATTCCATATAGTTGCAATATTTGGAGTAAATGTACTTGCGCATTTTGTCGCCCGCGTGGAGCAGTGATAGAGCGTCTGCTCTAGAGTTGCGAAGCAAGGAGTTGATCCTTACGTCGCGGGTTCGAATCCCACTGTGGGACGTGGAGACCGGTCCTTCGGATGAGACCGTATAAACCGAGGTCCCGTGTCGCAGTAGGTGCTGGCACGATAAAGATCCCTCACTGCTCAATGGCCGTAAGGGCCGAGCATAGCACAAAATTTGCAGCTCTCCACCGGCAAGTGATGGCGTCTCCATATGAGTGAAAAATTCTCGAGAGGGACGTTAAACAACATACAAACAAAACTTGCGCATTTTTATCCAATTCTAATTCCAATTAGCATGCCTTCTTACCAATTTCATCAGTTTTTTTCTCTTGCATAAAATTGAAATCTCAAATCATTTTAATTTTTTTTTCAAAAATAGGGCATAGGTGTAAAGGTAGGCGTGGTAATAAGATGATGTATATATTGTAAACATGCATAAGTAAGTTCTGAAATATAAATGCAACAGTCCTATTCAGCTGATAAGCGTAATCATAAATAACTAAAGCTACATAGAGCAGGGTCTTTATAGAAATTATATACTGTTTTATTCATATTTAAGCATCTACGTAAATTAATAGATAAAAAGCAGAGCAAAAGGTGTTAAAATTTGATGTTCTCTAATGTGTACGATGACAGTTTACATGTATATGTATATACAGTACCAACCAGACCCAAACTGACACCAAAGCAGTCCCAGATAGCAGTCCCCGGGACTGCTTTGGGACTGCTGTGGGACTGCTCTGGGACCACTGTGGGACTGCTCTGGGACCGCTATGGGACTGCCCTGGGACTGCTGTGGGACTGCTCTAGAAAGCAGACCCAGCAGTCCCAGCAGTCCCTGGGACTGCTTTGTTCACTCATGCGTGAAAAAGGTTCTGAGTGACATGATAGCTCCGCCCCTTGTGTATTCTGAATTTGCAGCTCCTTGTTGTTGTTGTGTTTACTTTCTGCAGAGAGGTGTTTAAGAAAAAAGCAAATATAAAAAAAAAAACAAGTATTGATTTCTTACAAAAATTAAATAAATAGAGATAACTATACATGTAATTACTAAATGTCTTCAGAGGGCTGTAAATTTACACAATTGTAGTCTAGAATTAATTTTAAGAAAATAAAAGTAGTTAAAAAGAGAAGTCAGGGGATGATTTTTATACCTTAAATTAAACTTCAATACAGGTGTTTGAAAAAAAATATCTAGGCCTATTTAATAAATTAATGCTGTCAAATTACATATGTACTCAAAGTTTGCATTAGCACTATTTAAAAACAAACAAACAAACAAACAAACTTGTCATTTCAGTAAGATACATGTATTCAGAGGAACGTACTGTACTGGATTTTTTTTCTTAACGAGGTTCGCTGTTGAGCTTTTGAGCAGATTTCTATTTTAACCTATATTTAAAAAAATCTGCGTAATGTTTTAATTCTTACAATAAATCTGGATTCTACAATGCCAAATAAACTATATTCAGTTAAAACTCCATGATTAAATTCCCTAATAAAAGCATTAAGTGAGGAACTATATTTTGTGGCGGAAGGTTTTTTAGAAGAAAATGATCAATATTTCTCTTTCGAAGTATTTAAAGTATGTTAAGTTTGGATTCCTATTTTTACATGCAGTCTGCACACAGAATTATTTTGAGCAGTGAACTGATTTATACTGGTCCTAAATTATATATTTAATAAACTGTCATGAATTCAATCATCATATTTGATAAATAAATCAAATATATTGTGAAAATCAAGAGAAAAAATAGCCCTAATTTAAGCTCAAAATTAGCACTATTTTAGTAATATCTAAAAATTAACATCACAGACCCCCACTTTTAACTTTCTTTTCTGAATATACAAGATACTTTTAATCATTCTTCTTAAATTCAGTAAAATGTCATTACTTTTAAATTAGTTTTTTGCTTGTTAAATTTGTAATGCTAGCAAAATGAAATTTTTTGAGTGCAAAAAGGTCAAATAATTGAACGTGCGGAGTAATTTAAAAAAAATTTTTCGTTGTCAAAAATTTTAATGGGTCTATTCAAGATGAAATAAAACTGTGTTTGTTCCCATAACTTATTTGAATAAAAAATATCGGAGGAAAAATTTAAAAAAATTGATTTATGTGTAAGACGTTTTTACAGTGCAAAAAGGTCAAACTAAATGCTCTGTAGCGCCAAAAAAAGCGCGTTGACGCCAATTTTTTGTTTTGATTTTTAATTAAGCTACGTGTATAAATTCTAAAAATATACTTGATAAAAAATTCTCATTACTTTTGATGTCAGGATCCAACCTCCTTAATTGAAAAAGCTAATACCATGCTTAAAAAAAGAGCACTCCATGCTATTTTTTACCACCCTCAAATAAAACTTGATAATTTATTTAATGACCATGAAATAAAATTATTCCACCATTCTACTGTCACATGAACAATGTGAACAATTATTCCGGGATTTATATATGAATTAGTTTTTAATTTATAAACAAGTCATTAAAAGAGTACATTTATTTAAGAAATAACCATTTGAAAATATCGGGAATTGTGACTTGTTTCTTATTTCTTTTGTTTGTGTTTAACTGGCCGGTTAATACAGTGGGATTGTATAAAATGGTGTCAACACCTGAGGTTTCAATCGCCTTTGGGCATAATTAGCAGAAAGTAAATGCATGTTATTTGGGTATCAGTGTTACACACACGCTGGTCAACATTGACACTAATTTCAATCTATGTCATGCAAAAAATCTTAGTTTTAATAATTGTGTATAAATTTATTTCGGGATTAATTAATTTTGAACATAATCTGAGGGTTCCATTTGCATGATTTACAGATGTACACTCGAACATTTATATAATAAAACACTTAAAACTGAGAATCTAAAGATAATTAAATTGGCAAGTCATTGAAAATAATCGTGACTGAAATATAATACTCGGCAATGTTTAACAAAGAATTTTTCAAAAGCTCCAATACTTAAGAAAAATGCATTCAGAGTATAGTATGGGAATCGGCCTTGCTCTATAATTATCATTATCTATTTAAAGCTAATTCTGGTATAAAATAAACAATTCAAGTTTAATTTTCTATATAAAAAATAAATAAATATGAAAACCAATATCAATCACAAAAAATGAAGAAATTGGTTTATTTTGGTTAAAAATTAATATACCAAATAATTGTGTTTAAATATTCATGTTATTAATAGGTGTGAACGTCTTCTTCATTCAATAATTATAAATTGTTTCTATACGCGTACTGTGATTTTCTTAACAGTTCAGAAATGACTGTTGCGTAAGAATTGTAAATATTTCTTGATACTACTCAGAAAGAATTGCTCATCAATTTCAACTGCCTTTTATATAATTACATTGTTTATTGGTAATCTCATTCTGAGTAAGCTCCGCCCATTAAATTAATTAACCCCGCCCACTGGGACTGCTGGGACTGCTTTCTGGGACTGCTGGGACTGCTTTCTGGGACCGCTGGGACTGCTTTCTGGGACCGCTGGGACTGCTGTGGGACTGCTCTGGGACCGCTCTGGGACTGCTCTGGGACTGCTTTAGCAGTCCCCGGGACTGCTCTGGGACTGCTTTGTGTCAGGCTGGTACTGTATTTACCAATCCGCTTTTTCTTTAAAGCATAGAAAAAAATCAAAATGAATACAACCACACCGGTTTTATTTTCAAGATAAGAGGAGCTATACACAACATTGGCGTGATAGACCTCCACCACATAGACCTCTCAGATATCTGCCACTGCAGAAGTTCGATTTATTTTGGCAGGTACCACGTGCCCTCCAGCATTGTACATCCGCTCCTGTTAACAATTACAAAAAAATTATTAAAGAAGTGATGTACATAAGTTAAAAGTTTCCTCATTGTCTTCTTATTTCTAGTGTAGTACTTCTATGAATGATCAAGCAAGTAATCTCCAATTCAAAAATTGAAGTACTGTTTGAAACACTAAAAAAATTTTACGATTGCTATTATTTATTTCTAGTATTACGTGATCAAACCTTTTAAAGGTTGATGTTTTTCGAATTCATACAGTGTAAAGAGATTTAATTATTTTTCAATCATCTTGGTTTTTAATGATAAATTCAATGCAGTTTTATATGAAAACAGCTTTTCCATAGCGACAAATTGATATCTTAAGAACATTTTATTAAAATGATGTATTTTGGGTTTAATTTAGAGAAAGTTTTTTTGGTATTTTTCTCCGTTTTCAAAAAATATTGTAATATTTGCTTACCACGAACACAACATTGTCTGTTAGTGGCTCCAGCACAGTATCCTGGTTTATATTGGAAACAAGGTTCATATGTATATTGACATCTACCATTCATAGACCAGCATCGAGAGTCACCCCCTTTAGTGACAAAAATATTTAAATCGATTGATTAAAGATTTTTTTTCTAACAAGGAAAATTATGACTATAAAAAAAAATTCAACATAGAAATTCATGAAGTCAACTGTACTCAAGTACATTCATTGTTAAGGTTTTGCCTTCTTAAATAAGTAACAATACTTAATATATTTCTCAGTATTTCTTTTTATTTGATAGATAGATAAATAGGTTAGAAATATTATGAAGATTATCATATTTATGTTTGAAATAGGCATACATGCCTTTACGGAGTACCAAAAATCAATACATCTCATATAATCAAGTAACTACTAAACATATAATGAAACAGGTTAAAGATGCGTATCGTTTGCATCTAACTTGACTGAATTTTTGCTTTCTTTGGAAGAATGGAAACTGATTAATGCTCAGTTTTGATAATATTAAATGAAAATAATAAAATGGTTAATCGAGACAAGGTATTTAAATGACCATTCAAGTGAGTACAGTTGGTCATCTGATATCGACTCATACCTTTATCATTTCGAACTCTTGAGTCGTGACCCCTGGAAATTCCAGAGGTGGGATCAGGTGCACAGGAGGAGTAAGCATCCCCTGTCGACCGTGAGCCCTATGTATAGATCAGGTAGACGGAACATTGCGTAGTCAAATTCAATAATAAAAACAAAGGCCTTACAATTGGTATGAAACAGCTATCAGCTATCATACGGCCATAAAATCTACGAAATGCTGCCTTCAAACGAGGCTGTTGAAATCCCTGTAACATCAACTTAACTGTCAGTAGCCTACCTCGGTTTAAAAAGTGATCGTACTCGGAGCATGCTCGTGAGTATCAAATAAGCTGGGAGATGTATAAGCATCATATGCAGGTGATGGTGGGATATTGCTACATCATTGAGGAAATTTGATGATGGAAAAGTTGAAGTCATCTCGTTTTTCATATAATTTAGTTGTAAGTTTGACTTTATCGTTTATAGTCAGTGAAACATCCAGATATGAAACCGATGTGGTAGACTCTGTACGTAGTGTCTTTTCTTTCAAGTTCACTTGGATAAATCGAATCGACATATGAATGAAAGTAGCTATTGTTATTTGATAATACGTCGTCGATATAACTTAATGTCGAGTGGAAGTGCACAGCAAGTGTTTTTTTTTTCTTCTCAAGAAGAGGTTTTTGAATAAATTCTGCTTCAAAGGAATATATAAATAGGTCGACCTATACAGGAGCACAATAAGTGCCCATCGAAATTTCAACAGTGTGTTGGAAAACGTGGTCACCGAAGACTACATAAATGTAGTCAAAGAGGAACTCCAGCATCCTTTAAAATCAACTTCAGAGCACTTATGTGTAGAATCAGAGTGATTTTAAGAAAGGAATTTTGTTGATGACCAGTCACAAGTTACGAAAATTTTTGACATGAAACGCATGAAATATTTTAAAAGTAAAACTTAATATGGACAATCCTATTATGTAAAAATTTGGACAATAATAATTTGAATTGATAACCCCCTTTTTGTTATGGAATAGGAACACCTGCAAAGGGTAAAAACAATAAGATATTTTTTTAGGTTTATTGCGATTTTGTATAGTTTAAAATTAAACGGCTTAGTGATACTTTAATTTCTATTCCTTCTTTTTGAGACAGGGACGTTTGTCTATGTCACTTGAGCAAATGTCCTGTTCGCACGGAGAGTTAAATTGGAATGTTCTTTGTTTAACATCCCTCTCGAGAATTTTTCACTCATATTGAGTCGCCACCACTTGCCGATGGGGGCTGCAAATTTAGACCTATACACGGCATTCAGGGCCATTTAGCAATGAGGTTTTTTTGTGTGCCAACATCTACTGTAAAACGGGATCTCGGTTTAAACGTCTCATACTAAGGACAGGTCTCCACATCCCAGATTGGGATTCGGGCCAGCGTCGTAAGGATTAGCTCTTTACACCCTGACCAAACTTTCTAGACACTGCCTGATTACTTCGGGCTGCACTGGAATTGTAATTATTTATTAGAAGAGAAGAATCTTTTTCTCATTTGTATTAGAATAATAATAATTTTACCTACATCATTGTTGCCAGTAAACATGTTACAGTAAATATGTCTAGACTTTTTAATATTCAGAAGAAATACCTGCTCAAATACGTAATTTTGCTTCTGTAGGGATTTTTTATAAACTGACTAATATTCAAATTTTCTCCATCATCTGTTTGATATAATATTTATATCTTTAGTGACTAGTTCCGTCTACTATCATCTCTAGCACAATCTTCAATCTTGAAACAAGGGAAGAAATAAGGAAAAATTTGAATTGTATTCGGTAGAAGTGTTCTTGCTTTTGAAAAAAAAGTGAACATTTCATTCATGTTTCACATGTTTATTTTTAGTGTTGTGTTGATGAACGGGGATCCTGTGATATATAAAAAAAATAAAAAGTTTTTTTCTCAAAATTGTGCTTTGATAATCCAAATTTGTGTGTGTGTTTTTTTAATATGGCCTGGATATACATTTGATATACAATTTTGTATTATTTTACGAATTTCTATAAATTTCCTCTCTCCAATGATCTCTACAAGATTTTAAAACATAATTTATGTGCATTGTACCTAAAGGAAAAGGGAATTCTTTTGTGAAATAAGGAAAAAGATCCAGGAACCATAAATTTGTATTTCTTTCAAAAATATATGGTGAAAAAAGCCGATACATTGTCGCTTAAAAGCCTAAATTAAAGAGCACAATGGAATACTTTTCCGGCATAGGACTTTGACAAAACTATCAGTTTTAATTGATCCTAGCATTTAGAGTATTTTTCAAAAACACATTCAAGTCCTTTGTCGATTAATTTTATCTACTGAATTTTCAAACATTTAAAATAAATATATATTTTAGTTCTGATGCACTGAGAGCACTGAGAGCAAAAGCAAATCTCTTTCTCAATGCTTGATTTTTAATACATTTGCATCTAATTATACCATAAAAATACGCCTTGAATGGTATAAATTGGTCACCTTTTATTGTCAAGGAGAATTTGCAACTAAATAGCATTTCAGGATCAAATGAGCTTGTCTGATCTAAACTGTCCGTCCCCAGTCTGTCCGTCTGTCTGTCATGTAAAGTGTGTTGTCTTTATACTTTCATCAATTCTCAATTTCCTCAGAGGCAATTTTAAACACATTTGTTTCAAAGTACTCTTAAGTTTAAAAAATTCAGATTTGATCATATTAGGGGCTATGCATTTTTTTAAAGGTAAATGATTAAGAATTAGTGAAGATTTCGATGTATCTCGTTGTATCATTCAACAAGCAACTGAGTCAAGATATATAAAACATATCAATATAAAAGTATCTTTACAAAGTTATCATTTAGTTTTTTAAATAACCCCTTGAGGTAGGGTATGGTTATAGCTGGAGATTAAGCTGTCAAAAAAGAATATGTATTGAAAAACTTTGAAAATATTCTTCTCATAAAAAGCAGAGCTTTTATTAAAGATATTAAGGAAGCTCTAAACACTGACGAAAAATGTTTATTTGACTTTGGGAAGTTTTAACGATAACAGAATAAGTGTTGTTGCTTATTATGCATTTCTCATTACATTTGAGCAAGTTTCGTTCTGTTTGTTGCAAATATTAAAAAAGACTTTAGCCTGTTGTCATCGAAAAATTTGACCACGGAGCGAGGAACTTTATTTTTTTATGGTAAGATATTAAGCAACATTATTTTTTGGATTGCCGGCGTGGTTTCCTTATCCTCTATTGTTAGATTACTAAAAACAAATAAAGGAACATTACGCCGGAGCCCATTCTGAATGTCATATTTTAACTCATACGTTGGGGCTTTTACTCAACTACATCGTGCCGTTTTTGTTAAACAAGAAAAACACATTCTATTTCAGATGTCAAAAACCATTTTCTAAAAACATTTTAAATATAAAAATATGCTAAATAGGGAATTTTATATTTTTCATAGTACAAGTACATATAATGAAATATAAAGATAACAAACATTATTCAATCTCGAAAGTCCAATGAAACGATACAAATTTGGAGTAGAGCAAACACGGACCTCAAAATTTAGAGGTGGGATCAGGTGCCATGGATGAATGAACATTCTCTGCCGTTACACCCGTCGTGTGCTACTTGTCATGATCGAAAAAAAAACAAAACGAAAAAGTCCGTAGACAGTTCAGTGTATATATAATGGCCTAACAATTAGTATAATAAACGTCAGTCAGCATTTGACTTAGTGATAGGTTATAATTTTTTTCTTCAAATGGAAGCAGAGTATCTTACCTTTTACCGTAAGAAGACCAGGGTTGTTGACCAAAAGAATGACCAAAAGGAGCATTACAACTGACTCGATTTTGAATGCCATATCTGAACCCAAACGCTAAATTAACTTGAGTAAACACCGAGTTGCCGTATTTTCTATTTATACATTCGGCACTATTTGATGAACTTGATTTTGAAATTCTGCCCAAAAAAATTACCCTACAGGATAACAGGATAACTTGCAGCTGTCACGTAAGGAAGAGATAGATGATATTATTTTACAGGTTTTGCTATGATTGATGAAAATGTTGATTTCGCAGATTTGGTTTATTATACATCATGAAGTCATACAGTGCCGTTAGACATAATTGAATCCGTATGTTTCCATTATCACATAATTATTGGATATATATCACAAAACAAAACACTAGCAATTAAGAAAAATAGTATTATTTTATTTTGTGTTCAATATTTTCTCTAACTCTTCCGCATATTCGGCAGATATTTTCTAAAATTTGATAAGAGTAGATTATGTTGTATTCTCTATTGAGAAGTTGATGGCTCGTTTTAATACTCCCCCTCAACTTCTCTACGAAAGGCCTCATAAAAGCAGTTCAGAAATTGACTAAATGAAGAACCAAAACCGGGTCCCACTTCGATCGGTGTTTTAGGATTGATGCATTATCATAGGCATATTTTGGATGCACAGATGTTGTTTTGCAATGGAAATGCGATTAAAAATGCCGATTCTGCTGACTTAAAAAACATTCATCACGGTAGAACACTTACTTGCGATATTTGTGTCACCGGATTCCTTCATTCATTCAAAACTGCGTTTGAACCCGGTTGACCTCTAAGAAAGTCTAAAACTTTTTATCCGGATAAATTGTATTAAATGTTTCAGTGTAAAATAGTTATCCGGAGAAATAGTTTTAGACTTTTTTAGAGGTCAAACGCAGTTTTGAATGAATGAAGGAATCCGGTGACACAGATATCGCAAGTAAGTGTTCTACCGTGATGAATGTTTTTTAAGTCAGCAGAATCGGCATTTTTAATCGCATTTCCATTGCAAAACAACATCTGTGCATCCAAAATATGCCTATGATAATGCATCAATCCTAAAACACCGATCGAAGTGGGACCCGGTTTTGGTTCTTCATTTAGTCAATTTCTGAACTGCTTTTATGAGGCCTTTCGTAGAGAAGTTGAGGGGGAGTATTAAAACGAGCCATCAACTTCTCAATAGAGAATAATTATGTTGCAGCATATATGGTATACCCCACTTAATACTCCTTAAATCTATTTTTTGAATTTATTGACTGTTAAAATAATATGCAGTTTATTATCTTACGTACTCAGTATTGAGATGAATATGTCTTTTAATTTCAATTTAAAAGTAGACATTTAAGGGAATACAGCAGAATAAAGCATTATTTGTTGCTTTGTTAATTCTATGGAACACACAAACTACAGTAAATAAATTAAAGGACATTGGATATATCTAGTAATCCACAAAAGCATCTTATCTTTTACTACAAGTAGTAAGTGGAGAATCAACAGTAGCATACAATCTGTAAACAAAGTCACAAAACATCGACTTGTAAGAAGTTACACAAATCATCATATCCACTGGGACAATGAAATGTATGGAGATAACGAACAGTATTCAAGATCAAAAGTCCATTAAACAATATAAATTTTTGGAGCAGAGCAAACACGGGCCTCTAAAACATTAGTGCCATGGAGGAGTGAGCATCCCCTGCCGACCGGTCACATCCTAGAACATACGCAGACTATAATATTCAATCATATCCTTTTTAATTATATTTTATTCGACTAAAATCCCATCTTGCATCATTGTTTGACATTGTTTTGTAAATCAGGTCCAAGAAAATATAGCTCAACATGAGACGACAACTTCTGCTTTTTTTGAAATCCCAAAATCGAGGAAAAAATTACACTATAATTGCTTGCCTATTTACAAAAAAATATGCAATAAAGAGGAAGAGGCTATAGTGCCCCTAAATGGCCCCATCAAGATTTGCAGTGATAATTGTCCATAGACATATAGAGGATTTGTAATTTTCAGAAATATTTATATTTTTGCCGTGCGGTGCACGTGTTGCTTTTATGACGTCATCAAACTTGCTATGTTGAATTAGTGGCGATTATAGACCTCTATAATATACACTGTGGTTTTTCCATACAAAATGTTAAATTCATTGTCTAAATTATACATGTACTTTATTGTGAACCTTTTTTCATAAAAAAGATGCTAATGTCTGATAATTTAATTCATGCACAGGTTGCATGTACAGCAAATATTTTTATAAAAACATTGCTTAAGGATTCTCTACGCACTGCAAATTATCCGTTTTTATGCAATTTAGATGGTCTAACTGCCCTTAGATCTAAAGATTAATTGAAATGTACAGTGTATTAATAACTCAAATTGTAATCAAGGCAACATTAACATTATTTTTAGGCTTAGATATTGCAGTAAATTAATTTCATTTGCATTAATTTTCAATATTTAAGTTAACTATTGCAAAAGTTATTACTGTTTATCAATACTTTAATGTTTTCCTGCAAGTATAACTATACGTACTTATTTTGAAACAAAAAAAAATTTTATCAAAATAATTTTCTGAACGTTCAAAAAGTATTTTTTAGTGCATAGAAATTCCTTAAGAGTTGATACCAAGTATTCTGCATATACGCTTAAACGGAAAACACTTTCAGACAAGTTTCAAAATCAAGTAATTGTCATTCTTCAACACGGTCGTCATCTTCATCACTGCCATCACTATCGTCAATCTTCTCTGGTTCCGGAATATCTTTAGCATCCTGCAAATACTCTGTCCAGTCATTTATGTGGCAGAACGGTTGCGATAGATGTCGTGCATAAGCCAAATACCACATTACTGATGTTATGTAAGCGCACATACCAACTACCCTTGACCCAGTTCTACACTGGCAATACCATGAAAGTACTCGGTATTCATCATACATTATCCATAGCAAGTACGATTTTGACGTAACATGTCGACTCTGAAGCTTTGCGCATAATAGTTGTGAATCTTGGTTACAAACCATCACTTCAAATTCCGACTTTTCATTAAAATGTTCTTGAGCATAGGATTTTACAAGGTGAACTTGGTAAACGCCGATTGCTAATGATCTTAATTCTTCCTCTGTCATCACCGGAAAATGGATGTCAGACGAATCCAGTCTTTTCCAGACCCCTCTTACTCTGTCAAGCTTCTCCTTTTCAATTCTTACTTGCGGCTCATTGTTTTGTTTCGCCAGAAATAACATTTTGCAACCGATTGCCTCATCATCATCTCTATTTCCAGTGCTGAGTGCCGGTAAATACATGTTACATATTGCTGCAACAATGGATATGTCATCTCTGACAAAGGGAATCAAACTATTTGGAAGGACTTTATCAAAATATTTCCATGACTTAAGCCTTGCGTTGGCCGATTCTACAACACATCTTATTTTTGTGATGAGGCTTGAAGTGTTACTTTGTTCTGTCGCTAACTGCCTTTGGCCCTTTGTTAAGAATGCTGGCATTTCACTTCTTATACCAACTTCGTCGAGAAAGTCAACTGAATCCCGAAACCCTCTATCGATCACAAAAACGTCGCCCTCTTTTAGCCAGTTCTTAATTTCCTCGGTGTCATGTGCAAATACATGTTTCAGTATGTTTGCATCATTGTTTTGATAGTCTGAGAGATAAGGACCAAGTGTACTGACAAAGTATCCAGTCGTGGTCACGATCACCATTGGCTTGATCAAAGGGCGATGTTTATGTAGAGTGTAGGATCGGCGTTGAAATTGAAAGTTGGAGCTCTTCTGTATGTAGATGTATGTCTCGTCTAAGACGAGAATGGCAGGATATAAACCCTGACCAAAGACGAGTGTGATTGGTAATGACTTCATCCCTCGTTACGTGCTGAAATCCAATATTTTAAGGTGCAAAAGTTTGCAGCAGATTTTTTCTGATGGACTTGATTGCGCGTCTTACTGAGTCTTTCGAAATCTGTAGCAGAGGTGCTAGTACTTTATTTGACATTCCTGTTTTTAGCTTGGTAAGATATATTCCAAGACACGTGCTTGTACTTCTAACTTGCGTGTCTCTAACAGAGGTTAAATAAGTCAGAAGGTTGTCAAAAGAAGCTTTGTCTAAGGCCTGTAAGATTTTTTAAATCTGCATCTCCGAAAGTGGAATCAAAATCTATTCCTTTTGCTTGTCTTTTTAGTAGGGCTTCACGAACTCTACTCAAAAGACTCATTATGTCAGTTCTGTTGAAATCTGTGCTTTGTTGAAAGTGGCTCATAAGATTTAGCGCTTCATCAGTAATTGCATCATCAGTAATATGTACTGGGCAACACCTTGCACCATAAGGTATAATTATGTTTTTATACAAAAAGCAATTAAACCGAACATTTGATGAAACAACTACTAATTTTGGGCCTCGTCTTCTACAAATGCAGCAAATTGAATGACCGCCTCCTGTTGATGCAAGTGGAAGAGTTATATTCCTTGGAGAAAAAGCAGATGGTTCAGAATAAATGAGTTTGGGTGGTCTTTGAGGTTTAATTTGTTGGCTTGAATTCGTATAGTATTGGCATCTGCATTTTCCACATAATACATCGTTTTCATGGATGTTAACCATGAAGTTTTTCTGAAGATACTTTCTTAAATGTTTATTGTTGTCGCCAGATAAAAATCGTCTTTCTGCGGGTTTAGTTCTTTTTTCACAAAGAATACAGGGGAAAGATCTCCTTGATTCTGTCATTCTACAAAGAAATATATGTACAATACCGGTATATATTTTATCAAATACAACTTATGATTTGGGGAAAAAATAAAATATTTTAATGTACTATATGATAGGAAAATAGTTAGGAACTTCGTGTTTTCTATGGAGTAATTATTCGTACGAACAACGTAATTAAATATCGAGTTGATTGAACGTACGAACTACATACATGTATACTAAGTTGTACACACGACACATTTTAATAAAGCACACACACCCCAACCCCCCGCGCACACCTCCTGGATCGGTGCTCAAATTTCTTAACAGCATGAATTCTTTTCAAATGTTG